ATTGCATCTGCTGCACATAGGGTATATACGTTTCTGGAATTTTTAAGAATTTAAATCCGAGTGGAGTGCACAGTATGCGGGTGCATATTCCTGTTGCAATGTCATGGGCTGATTATGTCGTTGAAGAAATGGCAGATAGTGCTCGAGTGGTCTCCTTTACACTTTTATACTCCCATTGTGGCGTTCAACATGGAAATGAGAATCGTCCGAGAAGGTGACCGTGTCCCACTGCTCTAGGTCTATCGGCGGTGTAGCTGTGACCATTTCATCCTAGTCTGACGATTTTTCAGCTGTAAACGCAGTCTGTGTGTAGACCAGAGGCGGCTCGTGGGTCTAAAAAGTGGGCGTGCACAATCAGGCTGAAGATAATCAAGGGCAGAGTAAATGGGATGGTGTATAATGTTAGGATCTTTGGGTTGGTGAAGGAAGACCTTGTGCTTTTATTTTCCTTCTTTTTACTTGTGGCTTTGACTTCTAGAACTAAATCTGTTTGTTAGCTAAACGTTAATTTCATTCATCCTGCATTAGAACAGAACACTCAAGTAATACCTTTCACCACTCCACTTCAAAACCGTTCAAAAGCACAACTCATAGGACGGTGACTTAAGTATGTCACGTTCACCTCCCTAAGGTTCACGGTCACAGAATCACTTAAAATAGCGACAAGACAATGAACCAATCACAATTCACTTGAGCACTCCGCTGGATTGCTCCGGGGCCCACATAATTTTGGCATGGAATAGTGCACAGTCTATGGTGTTTATTTTTAGATTGCCTACTGTGGGCTATGTTTCGGCTCTATTCGGCTGGAGAACATTTGAGATGTGCCGTCTTATTAATATTAATGTACCGCCAAACTCTCTACAAGTGTCGTCATCGCTTGGGTTATCCCAAAGAGTGATTTATAGGTCAGGTTTCCACTGCTGACTATCCTGTTATGTTTAGATACAGTGCATGAACTTATGCATGGCATAGTAGATGTTTTACGGCGCTGTAGAATAGAAATGACAGTTACAGCGCCAGCGAGGACCCTGTTTTGATATAATATTTGGCTAGTGTTTGTTTCTGGCGTCTTTTATTTTATTATTGTGGGTGCTTTACGTCATAGAACATTAAAACATTTTGGGCGGCACTGCACGACCGTGCTCAATGGACGAACCGCGCCTGGTGTAGACATCCTAGCTTCAATCTTGAATTTCCTCAGTCTGCGACGAACAGTATGCTGACGTGTAAGCGTCCAGAAAATTATCTTGCGGTTTGAGCAGTCTGTCCTGAAACGATTTCTCAGATGCACTGTCCTGACATATCGGCCTTGAGCTAGCATTATTACCCTTGGATGCCCAGTTCTGGGTCAGTCTTGAATAGGCGAAGTCACAACGTACTGTTATCTCAGTTGGCTGAAGGTCCTTTTGTTGAATGTCCTCGCAATAGTAGCGCGCCAAGAATGCCGATGGCTTGATTTTTCTGATCTTGAGATAAACGTATCGTCGTTTTTGGGTGACAATTAGTAAATATTGACGCGGTTTACGTAAAGACCTCAACTTCATAAAACACACTTTTTGTCGGTGAAAATCCGTCTTTTCTGGGGGTTTTTTCCTGGGTGCTGTGAACACTAGCTGAAGCACCAAAATGTTATTTTTTTTTATAACACTACCTACTTTTAAGAGTACTTAATACTACTCATGTGAAAGATAAAGTATGAAGATTCAAAAGACTTTATTTTATTCAGAATCAAAAAGTGGTACTTTTCTTTTGGTTGCCAGTATAATTCTAGTATTTGTCGCCGATTTGCTCTTGGGTGGCCCTAATTATGAGAATGCAGTTATTTCTAGGCTTCCATCAATCTTTCTTTTTTAAGGGGGGGGGGGGGGGGGGCTACATCTGAAGGCTATCTCGCTTATTACAGGACAAAATTTGACCTCATTTCCCCAATATAACAAGCATAGTAAGGAGTCTTAGAATCCGCAATCAAATTTGAGAAAAAAAGTTTCGTTTCCATGGATACGGCGGCCATATTGGATTTTGTTGACATGTCTTACGTAATGAATACCGCACTTATTGTTCATGGAAATTGATTGTTGGTTTTTTTTTTTTTTGCATGTGTGTTAACAAACATTAGACCTAAAAATTTGTTTGTTGTTTTTTTCCTAAGCGAATTAGAAAATTTTAAATGAATTTTTTCCCGAGGTAGCATTCACATTTGCAAAAAATCCGTGAAAATCCACACTCCACTTACCACCAACCAAAAACTATTTCATACATAAAAAATTAAACAGGCAAATTTTTAGTTTTACATCTTCTCTTCATTCTGTGAAAATTTTATCATGATTGGATAAAAAATGGTGGAGTTATACCAACAAGCATAGAGAAAAGTCTCGTTTTGAGAAAACGGCCGATAAAGAAAAATAAGTTATTGACTTCATGAGGAAATGGTGATGACAAACATGCCCGGTATGGGAAAAAATACGATTTTTAGGGGTTCTTATGCAAAAAAACAGACGTAGGAGAGAAAGCTAAAAATCCCCACAATTCAAATTTCATAATTTTTACCCGAATCGGGACTTTGAGGGTGTCTCCCCCTCCCCCCCTTTAATGAATTGGAATGACATTTTAAAGTCGCTTGGAGAAACTTCAAATGGATTGCGTCACCACGGCCTGTTGGCAAAATATCTTGCTTTGGGTCTAATTCATGTACCGGTACTTTGACAGAAGTCCGAGACTATTTCCGTTTCCTCGGACTAAAACGCGTTGTAAGCTATTCGTGGAGCCCGACTATGCGAACTCAAGGTCTAAACGAGGTCCTAAACGAATGAAATTTACACCCGCTATCCAGCAGGCGTAGCGAGCGTGATTAGGTCTATATTCCAAAAGGGCTGTTCAAATAGAATCTTACACCCATGTTGGGACTTTTCGTCCGCCCCCCCCCCCCGCCTTTCTTACACTTTTCTTACATTTGCCCCCCCCCCCCCCCCCCATCCCGTAATATTACATAGTTCGCTTATGATTATAGTAAAATAACATTTATATCGCGCAAATTCATGTAATAATTGTGTGCTTTACATAATATTCATGAAAAACATGCACACACACACACATACATGCACATAAAAATATATGGAGTTCTACATTCACAAAAAAATAACAGAGAAAATAATTGAAACAAATTATTGCATACACTCTTTCTTACTAATAAGGAAAAATTGAGACTCGTGTTAATGTCAAAAGCGGCTTAATTACAAATAAAATAAGCTACAGTGGAATTCTGATAAAGTCAACACCTCGGGACCGAAAAATAAATGTAGACGTTGAGCAAGGTTGACTTTATCCATGGTACTACTGGCCATTGGAAACTGAAGAGGACAGCTACAATAATATTATTACAAACAACCTGGTAACAAGATGTTAGCTCAATTTCAGTGAGTATGAGATGATGAGTAAACAAAGTAATTGGAGATGTGTGCACGACTAGCTCAGGCCCCAAACATATCTTCTTATATGAATTCATCTTGGGATTTAGTCCGAAATTGTTGCCTTTATGAAAGGTTTACATTTATTCGGTTTACTGTATCAGAAACGCAATTACCAAAACAAAGAAGGTAAGAAACGGGACCGCAGTGAGGGTTTGACTGTAAGCAAGAGTTGACTTTAAGCATGTTGATTTTTATCAGGATTCCACTGTATCTGTTATTACTGATCATTATGCTTAAAACAAACAGAGAAATTAGCTATCACCAACAAAGGCAGTGTTCATCATCATGTCAAAAATAAATTTCAAAAACACACAAAAAGAACACACACACACAAAACAAACAGGGGCATAATATGCTGAGATGTCTTCCAAATCTGAGTCCTTTCCTGCTCTTTCCCCTCTTCCTCTTCTTTTTCTTCTTCTTTCTCCACCTCCATTTCTTCCTCTGTCCTACGTAAATCCCTGTGCCTTTTTAAAACTTCAATACTTGGAAAATATTTTCCACATCCCTTGTGGCCTCAGCACCCTTTTTGGCTATTCAGCCTTTCTTGACCAAGGAGGTACAAAAGAAGCCAAAGGGCAGCAAATAATGTAATATTGCGATGGTTCAAGCCCCCCCCCCCCTCTCTCTAACTTACACTTTTCTTGCAGGAGCTAAAGACCCGCCCTCCTTTCAGGCGTAAGATTATATGTAAGGCAGCGTGGTGGAATCAGGCTCTCGTCAAAATAATCAAAGTGAAGAAACTTGCATTTTTCCGCAGGTTTGTGAATTTTTATCAAATTTTTGTTTTTTTGGCTCAACACCCTTCATGCCCATTAAAGAACTCATTTCTGCTTGGGTTTTTCTTAAAAATGTTGATTAAAGGCAAAAAAATTGTACATTTTCAGTTACCGCGGACTCTAAAGTTAAGGAAATAACTAATCTTTTGCGGCCATTTTCCCACTAATTTTACCTCTGAAAACAGGTCACCCCCACCTCCTTCATTCGCAAATATCTCGACTTGTATTGAAGATAAATGGACATTTTTTTCATCCAAATAAAGACAAGTGAACGAGCTTTAAGATGATACCAATAACTCTACATGCCCAAAAATTGACGAGAGCCTGATTCCACCACGCTACCTCACATATTTGAACATCCCCAAATGAATACTTCGTTGTGACTTGGCATGCGCAGCGGGAAAAAGAAACCAGATAAAATAGCTTGACCTCTGTAGTCTGAGACTTCGCACACGTAGTCCGTTAATTCGTTGTCAGAGGTGAAGTCTGACTCTATGAATAACTTACTTCTCGTTGGCCCAGACCTCGGCATTGTCCGGCACTGTTATAGTCTCGTTCCATGAATTTTCGCTAAAGTCAAATGCGTGCTGCACCGTCTCCCCCGTGCCTTTCAAGAGGCTCAAAATTGAGATAATAGATGCGTTCCATTGTGTGCCGAAATTCCGCCAGAGTGCAAGCCTAGTGTATTAACATAAAAAGTCTGCGGTACATTCTTCTCATTCGCAGAGCCAGTTTTCGGAGCAAAACTTAC